GCCTAAAAATGTAGTGCAAGTACAGTAAAAGTATCTGTTGTAAATATAACTCAAAGTACGAGTAAACAGTAGCCCTTTCGGAAGTACTCAAGAGTAGTGAGTATTACACTTTTAAAAGCTGATACATTTACATGTAATTTGTGCATGTGTGTGTAAACGTAACATTCTGTAGTGCATTAAGTCATTGCCCAGCAGGCACACAACATCATAAGACATTAACATTAGGTTAGATTTAGGTTGTGATGTCAGGTGACCAAAAATCAATGTCTAGTCGGCGTCTAAGGACAACGTTATTTGTTCAATAACAACATCAAATGATGTGGATATTTGGTTGACTTTATGTTGTGTTGGAAAGTGACCAAAACCCAATGTCGAGCCAACATCTTAAACCAACTTAATTTTGGCATCAAATCTGACACTTCCATGATTTTCATGGAAAAACTAAATGAAACATCCCCATCACACTGGGGTACAACTTCATTCTGACGTCATGTTGACATCTTGTGCCTGCTGGGGGTTTGAGGCCATTTCCATCATCATGCAGTAAACATCCGTCATCTTCTTATCAGTGACATGGGTCACACTTTATTATAAGATTCATTAGTTAATGTTAATTAATGCAGTTACTAAGATGAACAAACAATGAACAATACATTTACTACTGTATTTGTTCATGTTAGTTAACGTTAGTTAATGAAAATACAGTAGTTCATTGTTAAGTCATGTTAACTCACGGTGCATTAACTAATGTTAACAAGCATGGACTTGGATGTTAATCATGCATTAGTAAATGTTCAACTATGATTAATAAATGCTGTACATGTGTTGTTCATGATTAGTTCATGTTAGTAAATGCATTAACTAATGAATGCATTATTCATTAGTTAATGTAAAGTGTTACCGTATTGTAAAGTGTTACCGTGACATGCATCTTACCAATCTCTGGGTCAATGCATGTAAAGAGTTTGGACATCTTGTAGACTTTTAATGCTTCCAAACTGTTTGCTGCAATTAAAAAACACACATGTTTTAAGGTAGGATTGTGTGTCGTTTAAGGGTTATTTTAATACCCGTGCTAAATCGATACTTTTAAAACAGTACTGGTGCCAAAACGGTGCCTGAACCGATACTTTTTAGCCACAAAATTATGACAAAAAAATATTTTAATCATTATAATTGAACAATATAAATAGATATTTATAATAAGTTTAAAGTAAACATCAGTTCATAAATTATATATTTGAATTGCATTCAGTGGCGAGGCAGTGGCGCAGTAGGTGGTGCTGTCGCCTCACAGCAAGAAGGTTGCTGGGTCGCTGATTCGAACCTCGGCTCAGTTAGCGTTTCTGTGTGGAGTTTGCATGTTCTCCCTGCCTTCGCGTGGGTTTCCTCCAGGTGCTCCGGTTTCCCCCACAGTCCAAAGACATGCGGTACAAGAGAATTGGGTTGGCTAAATTGTCTGTAGTGTATGAGTGTGTGTGTGAATGTGTGTGTGGATGTTTCCCAGAGATGGGTTGCGGCTGGAAGGGCATCTGCTGCATAAAAACTTGCTGGATAAGTTGGCAGTTCATTCTGCTGTGGCGACCCCAGATTAATAAAGGGACTAAGCCGACAAGAAAATGAATGAATGAATGAATTGCATTCATATATTTCTTTTGATCAACCCTAATTTGAGGAAGTTCATTATGATGCGATTTACCTTCTATGTGAGATTTGATTGGACAGGAATCACAGGACTGATTTTTTTAAATCCCCATAGACAAGAGAAAATAATGTAGGGACTGCAGATTGAAGGAAAGTAGTGGAGTAAAAGTACTGATTACTGCACTAAAAATGTACTCAAGGGAAAGTAAAGTACACATTTTTGAAACTACTTAGTAAATTACAATTCCGGAGAAAAACTACTCAGTTACAGTAATTTGAGTATTTTTAGTTATTTGCTTTACACCACTGAAAGTATCTAATTACAAATACTCAAATTACTGTAATTGAGTATTTTTACTCCTAATGGAGTAAATGTACTTTTACTCCTACTTTTCATCACTACTTTATTTTTTTTCTCGTCTATGAGGATTAGATCTTGTGATTCCTGTCCAATCAAATCTCACATAGTAGGTAAATTTTGATTAGTCACAATTGTAATTAGAGATATCTCCAAATGAATTTTGACTAGTAACAATTGTAATTAGAGATATCTCTAACTGAGTTTTTACTAGTCATAATACATTTGGAGATATCTTTAATTTGACATATTTAGAGATATTTACAAATATATTTGAAGATATCTCTAATTAATTTACTAATAGTCGAATTACAGTTGTAGATATCTTGAATTGGATTTTTGACTAGTCAAAATTCATTTGGTGATATCTCTAATTGCAATTGTGACTAATCAAAACTTATTTAGAGATATCTGCAAATATTTTTCAATGGAAGTTAATGGAGGAATATGACTAGTCAGTCATAATATATTTGCAGATATCTCCAATCTGACTAGTCGAATTATAATTATGACTCGTCAAAATATAATTAGAGATATCTCTAAATATATTTATGGATAGTCAGAACAAGGTTTAAATGCTAAAACGGCTTGCCATACACTCTCACCCAGTAGCACAGTGGAGATTTCTCTAGTTATCCTTTGCTTTCAGTCGTTTGTTATGCAGTGACATGCAGTCAAATATTTCACCAAACAGTCCTTAGGGATGCAGGGACACGCAGTCAGATATTTCACCGGACAGATCCGCCACTTTTGGTGCTCATAAACAATCAAAAAGCTCTCGTGCTGCAGGAATGAGGAGGTCTGCTGAAGGCGCGCAGCTGAGGTGCAGTGAGGAGTTTGCGTCTTTAATAAACTACGGCAGTTTGCGTTCACTGAACAGTAAGAATGATTAATAAATCCATATGAAACAGCCCCTTAAAAGTCACGTCTCGCTTTCAGTTTCGGGCTTTGGCGCGTTTTGCACTCACACGCAAGCATACCGCGCCAAAGCCCAAGTGATCCGCGCTCAGGCACACCTCTTCCAACCGGGCCAGGGCCGGCCAAGTGAACAGTGCTTGAGCCCGATTCAGTGCACTCACACTTCTCACACGATCCGGGAAACGGGCCTGGGCACGGTACGGATGGCATAGTGTGAGTAGGCCCTAAGAGTCTCTTTAACCCTTATGTTTTTTTTATTATTATAACCGTACGTTCACACCGAAAGCGGCGAGAGCGTCAAAGTAGCCGGAAATCATTCATTTTCAATGAGAGCCGGCGGCGATAAGCGGCGAGGAGCAGCGCGGCGCGTCTTTGCCGGCGTGAGTGTCGAGGAAAGTTGAAATGAAGTCAGCTTTATGGTATGAGCTATGACGCGTTTCGGCGGCAAGCAATCAGAATGAAGACGTCCATCGCTTGATAGCAGTTCAGAGAACACAGACCTGTGAACTTTGGTTTCGACCACAGTTGTTCCCAAGGGTTTGATTATTGCGGTCGCCGGATTTCCAATTATTTACAATTTTTTCCTACAGGAACATACATTAAATAAGTTGCTGGCGAGTTACTGATGTTCATTAATGTTATATAAATTTATCTTAAAAAAGCGGGAATCTCACGCGATGTGACAGTACAAAACAGTATTGCTGCTTCAGGATATGTCAGACATATGGACACATATTGGATAAATAGTGCAAAGCCGCACCACACGCAACTTGATCTTCCATTGTTGTATGAATTTGATAAGAAGTGCGCAACATTTTCACGCTAGAAACATGTTTTATGCAGGAATGTAACTGATATGCTGCAACGGCTCCTTTAAATATGAGATCCAAGTAGCGAGTTTTGACGCTCTTGCCGCAGGAGCTGAAGGCAGAGAGCGTTGTCGCCAAGGCGGCCAGAGCGACCTTGGACGCTCTCGCCTCTTTCGGTGTGAACGTACGGTAAGACATACGAGACAATATATTTTTGTTTATTTATTTTTTTTGATTATTAAAACTATTTGCTTTAGCAATGTTGTTAAATTAAAATAAAGTGCTTAAATAGATTTAAAAAATCCTAATATTTCTAAATGGATTGTGAAAAAATATTCAAGAACTATCGATACCGAATGATATGAAACATGATATTGTGAATGCCCAGCCTTACATTATTCTGAATACTAGTATCTTGAAAAATATATTGTAAAATATCATGTAATGTGTATTTATATAGCGCATTTATGTGTATGGCAAGACACCCAAAGAGCTTTACGATCATGAGGGGGGGTCTCTTCACACCACCACCAGTGTGCAGCATCCACTTGGATGATGTGACGGCAGCCACAGGACAACAGCACCAGTGCGCTCACCACACACCAGCTATTGGAGGAGTGGAGAGGCAGTGATAGAGCCAATTCAGCGGATGGGGATACCTTTTTGATATTATGTACTGTCATCAGTCATCATGGCAATGATTAAAAAAAAAATAGTTATTAGAAATTTTTTAGAAATAGTTATTAAAACTATCTTGTTTAGAACTGTGTTGAAAGAAAAATCTCTTTTTAAAAAAAAAGAAATTGGGGGAAAAATTGGTATATACAGGGGGGGGGGGGGGCGGCTAATAATTCTGACTTCAACTGTCCTTCTTAAATGGCTATGGATTGAACATGGGTTAGGTTGTATACATGTAATTGTATGTAATTTATTGTTATTATTATAGTAAGTACACGGAACATGCAAACAAACCCATGAATCATTTTGAACGCTCCTAAATATTTCAAAATCCTCATTTTGGAGAAGTAATGGAACATAACGGCTCAGGTCTTTATTTATGGCGTGCTTGTGCAAAGGCTTCTTTGGAGCAGTCCCAGATTTTAAGTGATTGAAAGTTTTATGAACCCTGGCTAGACAAGTACCCATGATTCTCTGCGCAGAACCCAAACTGTTACCTAATTGAAACCGTGCTAGTTTTTCAGTAATCCCAACAGCAAATTACACTTGCTCATGATCAGCACTGATTCTCATCCCCTTATCTCTTTGAACAGGTTTGTCCGATCAAACCCAAACCATGGGAATCACCTTCTGTGTTTAAACCGGACGCAAAGAGAGAAGTATAATCCACAAAAGCGGATAAGATGCTAAATGACCACCGAGCTTTGTGAAGAACAAGGAATTAAAAAGAGGAGATGAATGGAGCCGTCGCCCACACAGAGAGACAGAGTGTGAGTGAAGGTCGGTCTTATTGTTTTTCCCCTCGTGGCAAACATTGTGACTAATAAAGACGCAAGGCACTATGAGTGGCCGTATCTGGGCAGCGTTGCTCTTTCTGTGCATCTGCTTTGAGCTTGGGGGAAGTAGTACTCATTTGAGAAGATGGAAGAGAGAGGAGCGTTTGCCAACTGCAAGGAAAGACAGTCAGGAAGAAGGTCTAGAACAAAGCGAGATGACATTTGCCAACAAAGCAGGAACACCACATTTGCGATTAGCATGGAAAAATAAGGATAATGTGAGGATCTTACAAAGCAACAAAGATGCTATGGAGTCTGTATCAGGACTGCGTCATGCACAGATTAAAGAAATTGCAAAGAGTGGAGCTGAAATCTCAGTGACTCCTGTTTCTGACACAAGTGTGAACGCAGATTCTACTTCACTTTTTATGCATAGTTATCAACCTAAATCTAAAGATGTCACAGAAAACACCAAGACACAAACAGTATCATATAATAGCCAGGACTTCAGAATATCTGTAGTTGAAATTGGAGTGACTCCGGTTTCGTTGTCTGAAACAAGTGTGAACACAGATTCTAATCCAGATATTAAATATAACCATTATCTCAAATCCAAACTTATTCCAGAAATCAGAAAGACAACTGTATCATATAATAACCAGGACTTCAGAATATCTAGAATATCTGAAGTTGAAACTGAAGTGACTCCGGTTTCCTTGTCTAAAACAAGTGTGAACACAGATTCTAATCTAGATGTTTTAAGTAATTATGATGCCAAATCCAAAGATATCCCTGAAATTACCAAGACAACTGTAGCATATAATAGCCAACACTCCAAACTATCTGAAATATCTCAAGATCAATTTGTTCCCCCTAAATTTACTCCATCAGGACAGAAAATGGTATTTTCTGGTGCAAGTGTGAACACAGATTCTGCTCCACATTTTATTCATAATTATAATTCCAAATTCAAAGATGTACCAGAAATCCCAAAGACAACAGTATCATATAATAGCCAGAATTTTAGATATTCTAGATATTCTGAAGTTGAAATTGGAGTGACTCCAGTTTCCTTGTCTAAAACAAGTGTGGACACAGATATTGTAAGTAATCATGATCCCAAATCCAAAGATATTCCAGAAATTAGCAAGATAACTGTTGCAAATAATAGCCAGGATTCCAAACTATCTAAAATATATCAAGGTCATTTTGTTTTATCTGAGTTATCTCCTGCACTACGGGAAATTGTATCAAAACCGAAAAAAACCCAGGTTGAAGAAATTGAAAGACGTGGAGCTGAAATTGCAGTGACTCCGGTTTCTGATGCAAGTGTGAATGCAGAATCTGCTCCAGATTTTATGCCCAATTATAATCCCAAATTCAAAGATGTACCAGAAATCACAAAGCCACCAGTATCATATAATAGCCAGGACTTCAGAATATCTAGAATATCTGAAGTTGAAATTGGAGTGACTCCAGTTTCCTTGTCTGAAACAAGTGTGAACACATATTTTAATCCAGATGTTATAAATAATCATAATTCCAAATCCAAAAATATTTTAGAAATCCTAAAGAAAACATTACAATATCATAGCCAGGACTTCAGAATGTCTGCAATATCTCAGGTCAAAATGGGAGCGACTCCAAGTCCCAGTGTGAATACACATTCTAATACAGATATTTTTAGTAATTATGATCCCAAATCTAAAATGATCCCAGCAATCACAAAGACAACAGTACCATATCATAGCCAGGGCTTCAGAATATCTAGAAAATCTCAAGTTGAAATTGAAGCCACTCCAGATTCGTTGTCTGACACAAGTGTGAAAACAGATTCTAATCCAGATTTGATAAGTAATCATTATCCCAAATCCACAAATATCCCAGAAATCACAAAGACAACTGTATCAACTTTTAGTCTGAACTCCAAAATATCTCAAGATCGTTTTGTACCTTCTGAATTAACTCCTGCAGTACAGGATATCAAGTCAGAAAAAACTGCAGTTAAAATCAAAGTGACTCCAGTTTCATGGTTTAACCCAAGTGTGAACACAGATTCTACTCCACATTTCACAATTAATTATCCCAAATCCAAAGATATCCCAAAAATCACTCCAATCAACTCCAAAATATCACAATATAGTCCTTTAGTTGAAGAAACTGAATCTAACCAAGATGAAAAACGACTACCACTTGCCAGTGCACTGGATGGGCCATCAGATGCCAGTGGGATCCCGCTGAAACCTCCATCTGGGTTAAATAACAATGGACAGCAAGTGCAAACTATAATGATGGGCAGCCAAGATGCAGACAGCAGTGGGGATTTCCACAGCACTCTTACTGGACCAAATCTGGATGAGATGCCCTCACAATCCCGTAGCCGAAGAAGCTGGATATGGAACCAGTTTTTTGTGATTGAGGAATATAGTGGACCAGAACCGGTGCTAATTGGACGGGTAAGGTGAACATTTATGCTTGCATGCTGATTTAATTTAGTTTTTATATGATGAAATTGTGTGTTTGCAATTCATTTAAACTAGCGTAATTTGAGATATAAAGGAGACATGGTTTCCACTCTTTCATGAACAGCAGATTCAAGGACTTTTTAAAGCACAATTAATTTCAAGTCAAACAACTTTACTGTACTTAAAGGTGCTGTGTGTAAGTTTTTGACTCTTCTAAAGCATAAAAATACTATAATATGTTTGCAGATTTTTAAGAAACATGCTAAGTGAACACTCTTGTTTATCTGAAAAACAATGCTGAAGTCAAATATTCTGCTTTGAAAATGTGTAACATGCTGGAACGGCTGTCTTTGTTTTGGTTTGTTTTGGTCTACTGCCAGTTTAGCCAAATGTATTTCAGCACCTTGGGTTGCCTTCATGGAAAACAGCGTTTTTGATTCATTTAGTCAGAAAGGCTCTCAAAGTGTGTGTCTGTGACCGAAAATGCAACAGTAGCAGCCCTGAAATGAGACACAGATTCAGAGTTTCACACGAGGTTATTAATTAGCAAATAATATAAATGTTACAAACGTAAACATTAAGTGAGCCAGTTACATTGTAACCCTGTGTCATAACAACACACTAAGTGAGGAGATTTGGAATAAAAAGCAATTGGGTTCTTTGCACCAGACGAAACACGACAGAAATTTAATTACATTCTGAAGCACAGAATAGTGCACTCACTGCACTCCAGTGAAAAGGTAAGGCTTATAATTTTATTAATACATATTAAACCTCTTAAACATTGTACATGCTGAAGGCTTGATATTTGCAGGCTTGCACTTGCAGTTCTAAAGTTCATTTTCAAGTAGTTTATTTTATTTTCAAGATCTGAGGTGAACTATCTGCTGCTGCTTTTTTTAGTATGACAATAAATGTCAGGTAAAATGGCATTAAAACTCACACTGTTAGCATTTAACACTGAATAAAGCACACGGGGAGTACCTGAGGTGATCATTGTTCACCTGTGAGAAATACAAGCTGTTTCTAAAATAGAAATTGCATGTGTTGGTTAGGACACTTTCCCAGAGATGTAAGGGCATCCGCTGCGTAAAAAAATGCGGTGAAAATCCTACACGATGGTAAGTTTGATTGTGGTGCTAACATGTGCTAACTCGGTGTAATAGTTAGTTCGATATGAACTAACTTTGCCATCTGAATAAACAAAGACCACAGGTCGCTCGCTTACCAAATCTGTAGAGAAAGGACAATCAACAGCAACTAGAGCCGCATCTTTATTAAGAGGAGACGAGCAGCAAATCCTGATTTCACCTTTTCCAGATGAGAAAAGCTCTCAACAATGTTCCTTAGACATGAATTGTTGTCGAGCGTCGCGTGCACTGTAATTCACACGTGAGTCCAGCTGCGCTCTCATAGAGGGAAAATGAAAACAAAACCTTCACTGCAGCAAATTATAAAAGCAACACAGCACGCTTGTTTTAGCAACACAACGATGCGTTTCTGCCGTCTGAACACTGTAACATTAATGAATATTAATGATGTTGCACAATAGAGCGCACTGACTGGTTTGAGCCAAGTCTTACTCATGAATAAATGCAGCACACTCCTACATAGGTACAGACGTCCAGTCTACATGCTGGAATACATGCTAAGATCTCATGGTCTTAAATTTTAGTTTCAAACCGGAGGTACGAATATGCTCGAAACAGCGCAATTTTCCCTTTTTAGTGAAATATATGTGTCCTAATAGTGTTTTTAGCAGTGTGGGACACATCAACGACTGTCAACAGCTCAAAAAAATGTGCTTTGGTGTTTCGTGCGAAGTGATTTTGTTGTATAATAAAACTACATGCTGGTTCTTGTTAAAAAAAAGTAAAAAAATAAATAAATAAAATAAAGGGATGACCATACTCTGACGTCAAATGAACCTGGGTGCGGGCCAAAAGTGATTAGTGTGAAAGCACCCTTAAATTCAGGTATGTGGGAACCCTGGGATATGTGACTTTATGACATAAATAAAATAGAAATGCAGCTTTGAAAAAAAGAATTAAATAAATAACATGCACTGATGCGTCAAGCATTTTCATGTTATACTGTAGTTCACTAAAAATATGATCACTTTGAGCGTTCTTGTGTTGTTTTGAGCCTTTTTGACTTTCTTTTATCTCTGGAACACCAAAGAAAATATCATGAAAAAATGCGCTTTATTGTCCGAACACTCAATGCCTTCAAAAAAATGTTTTCTTTTGTGACTAAAAAAAGCTATGCATATACATTTGAAGCATCTAGAATGTGAGTAAATGATGGAAAAAAAAAAGAAGTATCCCTTTTAGGTCTGGCTAATTTTTTTGTTTCAGTACATTTTCAGCATGCCCACACTTCTCTCGTCGCCATGGAAGATTCTATTATGAATAAATCAAGGCTATTGCATTACCTCCGAGTTTATTAAACGTGGGATTTGGACAGTAATTATTAGATGTCACCAGGAAGGAAAGAAAAAAAAATTGCAATTACATGCTCGGTGGTCACATTTAGTAACACATGCACAGACACAGGCATGCGCTTAAAAAACACAGATGCTCGCGCTCGCTCTGCGGTAATGAGCTGCGCTGGATAGGTCACATTAACTGCGATTCACACTGAGTAAGTCTGCCAGCTGCTTATACAGAACACAAGGCTTTAAAGAGTCTGGCGCTAAACCAACACGAGATTCAGAGAGCGCACCTCATAAATGTTGCATCCGCTCCTCTGCCTGTCACTGCGCTGACACTGTATCCGAGTAAATGTTTATCCGATGGGCCAGGACATGCTGTTGTCACTGTTGCTGTTCATCACGACGTGCCGTTTACCTGTGTACCATCCAGAGAACTGCATAGTGAATCAGTTATGGCTGAGTGGAGGGCAAACTGTCTCCGAGACGGAGCTGAACTTGACCGTTTCCGCTGCTAGGAGGCCAAACTCAAGGCCAAACATGAGCGCTGACTTTGATGCATGAGCTAGCAGCAACTTTCCTATTGGATTTGTAGCTGGAGCAACTGAATCGTGGGTTGTTTAACGTGACATATTGGATGCGTTGGATGTCAGACGAGTCTATGTGGCTTTTAGTATATGTGTCTGTTAGCTTTAAGGTTTAGCTAGGGTATGCTGTGTGAAAACATGCTTACCCAAATGCAGTTATTTACTTTTATAATAGTTTTCTGTTGAAAAAACATGATTATTTTATGCATCGGACTTATGCAAGAGTGTATGTGGAAAAAAAGCCAATAACTACATTTAATTTACTGTAAAAATTTATATAGAGATTTCATTTTAAGGGTGAACTGTCTCTTTAACACGTTTTTTTTACAATAAAATGGCCTTGGAGGAATAGTAAATCACATTTTTGCTATGCTATGCTGTGCTATAAACAAAAAGCTGCTTTTACTGATGTAAATAGGGGCGTCATGGTGGCACAATGGGTAGCATGATCGCCTCACATCAAGAAGGACGCTGGTTCGAGCCCCGGCTGGGTCAGTTGGCATTTCTGTGTAGTGTTTGTATGTTCTTCCCATGTTTGCGTGGGTTTCCGCCGGGTGCTCCGGTTTCCCCCACAAGTCCAAAGACATGCGGTATAGGTGAATTGGGTACTGTAAAATTGACCGTAGTGTATGAGTGTGTGTGTTTCCCAGTACTGAGTTGCGGCTGGAAGGGCACCCGCTGCGTAAAACATATGCTGGAAAAGTTGGCGGTTCATTCCGCTGTGGTAACCCCAGATTAATAAAGGGACTAAGCCGAAAATAAAATAAATGAATGAATGATTTAAATAATAAATAAGGAAAATGATTGAATGAATAAACGTTCCACTTTTTGAGCAGAAATAGTCTTATTTCACATCTCCCATAGAGTCTAGTTTTACCGTTTTTGAATACATTCAGCCAATCTCCAGGGGCCTCAACGCTGCGTATGCACAAAAACTTTGCATACCCCAGATTTAACGGTCACGTTTGGATTTACTAACGATGAAATGAACGTGAGAATGTGCGTTGGTCCACATCATCTTCATGCCTGGCGTACGTTCATTTCTTGTGTGTGTTTGGTTTATTTCCATTGGCGACTCCTGGAGGCAGTTGTGTTAAATTGCACACTACAAAGTTTCTTTAAACCGTGTAAGGGCAGCTGTATGGGACAGGTTCATCCACATGTCTAGCAGGTAAATAAGGTTTCCATATCATGCAGTTGACCAGTCAAACATTAAAGCGCAATTTGCAGCGGTCGCTGGTTTTCCCAATGTAATTGGAGCGATCGACTGCACGCACATTGCTATAAAGGCACCATCTGAAGACGAATTTGCATACGTGAATCAGAAACATTTCCATTCAATAAATGAGCAAATAAAATATGATGCTTAGATTTATTAATGACTCATACTCGTCTTCCTTGTGATGAAGAGTAGGCAAAATCTGATATGTAGCTGGGGAAAAAAAGAAGAACGTCTTCATCAGACGCAGGATTCGGACCAAGTTCATGCTCGAACGTGTCAAATCATGTTGCCATGCCTTTTACGAGCTACGCCACACACACTGTTAAAGACACTACAAAATTTTACAGCTTTACATCGCACCATTTCTTTTTTTAATCCACTCAGTACGATGTTTAGACCCAACTGTGTTAACCGCGTCAGCTAAACTCTCCCACTCCCGGAGAACAAACTTGCAAATAACACCGTTTTTCTCCGTTCTACCTCCAAAAGCAGCACCTCCAATTCACATTCTGTTCAAAGTTTCGGTTTTTGCTTGCTTTTGCCATTGCTTTTTCGGTGGGTTTTGCCAAAGTATATTAGCATATTCAAATGGGGGAGGAGGCAGGGAGGGGTTTTGCGCTCGTGCACGTGCGCTCAGTTTCACGTTCATTCGGATGTACAAAGAGAATATGCGTGTGATTCCGCGTACGCAGTGTTTCATACATCTGAATTTTTTAATACGTACGCACATTTACAGCTTTGTGCGTACGCA